ACTGAAGCTTTGGATAACGTGACCCTTATTGAGACAACAACTGCAGTTTCTACAGATTATACTGATTCAACGATCGACTCTATTCAATTTGCGACCACTACTGAAGCTTTAGATTACGTGTCCCTTATTGAGACAACGACAGAAATTTCTAAAATTCATACTAATATCTTCTATGCAATTTATTTCTATATTAAGCGGACTATTAATAATTTTTTTAATTATATTTTTAATTAAATGATATTTTATTGTTTTAATTTAGGTCATTTTATTCATGTAAGCTAAACCATAATTATATATAAAATAACGAATAGGTATTTAAAATTTTAGAAACAAACCAATTCGGTTTACATGAATAACTGTTAACAATTATGATATTAGTAATTGTATCTCTATTTAGGCTATACAAATGATAGTACATATGCAAGATATTCGTGCACCAGCTGTGAAGCGCACATTAATTAAATTRTGTTTAAATATAGGTAATGTCAATAAAAATACCTGACCGGTATTGACATAATAATATAATATAATTTACAAAATATAACCGTAATCATATAGCTACTAACCACACAGTAAAGAGTACATGACATACCATTTATATACTGTACTCAATAAGCATAAAGTCAACAAATCTAAAATCAGTCAATCTACATTGGAAAAAGTATAATACTTATTGTATTAAGGTAAATGGAGAATATTTCATTTAAATTAGGTAATTAATTGATGTGACTTGACGTCWTGGATTAGGGAAATTGTCCCATTTCTGAGATCTGAGTTCCCATTTAAGATAATTAAAAATAGCTATTAATATCTTTTATTTTATTCATAGRTACAATAAAAAATTTATATTTTTACCAAGAATTTAGTATGTTATAAAAACACAATCGATGCATTAGCCACTATCATTATTCAATCACCAGTTATGATGTATTATACTTATACTGTATAAAAAAAAAGATATCATGTATTATATATTATGTATAATATGTTTTATAAAAAGTAATATTCATATGTTATTTTATTATAAAATATTCGTTATGTTCAGCTAAGGAAAAATTATGAAAATGTAGTTTGAAAACCAAATACAATAAATTGCTCGTGAAAACTGTTTTCGTCATTTTTAAATTTTTTATAACAAATTAAAATTATTTTACATATAGTATCTACAAGGTTATTGTAAGGTTAATACAGGGGTCTTCAAACTACGGTCCACAAMAAAGTTATCACCAGACCTCAAAGGACAGTATAAATAATCTAAAAATATATGTAAAATAAAAACCATTACCACGTGCACCTATCAATTATCACAATTATATATAACTTATATAAAAGAAATATTTTTTAAATAKATGTAAAAAATATATAATTCTATAAAACTAAATATTATTTGTGTTTGTACACTTTTAGCCCACTTAAAGCTTTTGATATTTTATGTGGCTCTTGAAATAAAAGTTTGGAGGCCCCTGAGTTAATATAATGTTGTATTATGTAAGTATAAAGYATTCAAATACTTTTAAAAAGTAATGAGAATATCTGATCTTTATTATCACAGATTTTATTACAATTTTTAGAAGAAGAAGTAGAATTTTTTGACTTCGGACTATTTTACTTAGATTCTTGTGCAATACTTCAATAGTAACCACAATATTAGTCCAGTTTCACATAATACTAAAAAAAGTTCTCAATTATTTTTCCAAGACAATAAATAATAATAATAAGTTTTCACAAAATTATAAATTATAATAAATTACATTTTACATTGATCTTTTCTATATATATATATATATATCCTGCTATACACAAATTCATATCACATGAAAATTATAAGTTCCACAAAATTCCGTTCTGGTTTGGAAACGGAAATAATTTGGTTTCATAAAATTTTCCAAAACGATAGATAAACACTGAAATAACACAATACACTAGGAAGATTAAGGGGTCTATAATTTTTATGTAATGTTTTATAATATATAGCTAGATATATAATCTAAATGTAATATAGTTACTTTTTTATAGATCATACAATAAACGA